CATACATACATACATACATACATACATACATACATACATACATACATACATACATTATACATACATACATACATAATTATGAATACATTAATAAATACATGCACAAATACATATATAAATACACAATATTACAAAAGTACAGAACAATTTACAACCATGTCATTCCAGGTCGTCATTGTGCAGCACCCTGTATTTTGAGTGAGGGTTGTGTCTTGCTCAAGGACATACCTCGGTGACCACCCATCTAAACCCTGGGTCACCGACACTTGCTGGACGTTACTTGAGTCTGAACTCACTGCTCACTTAGCCACTGGAGAGGTGAGTTACGTCTCTATACACACAACTACAGAGAGGCGAGTTACGTCTCTATACACACAACTACAGAAAAGCGAGTTACGTCTCTATACACACAACTACAGAGAGGCGATTTACGTCTCTATACACACAACTACAGAGAGGTGAGTTAGTTTAGCTTGTCTTTTTTAATTTTCAGTTTAGTTTGTCTTTTTTAATTTTCAGTTTAGTTTGTCTTTTTAAATTTTCAGTTTAGTTTGTCTTTTTGAATTTTCAGTTTAGTTTGTCTTTTTTAATTTTCTTTTTCAGTTTTCCGAAGAGTGTTTCTTTGTCAGAAGACAGTAACACTAAAGGGAGATCCAACTCCACTGTCCATATTTTCGTTTAGAGAGACCTAAATATGGAGAGTGGAGTTAGATCTCCCTTTAGTATAATTTTAGTGAGAGTTGTTTCAGTTATATGTGTCTATTCTTGCTTTTTCAACATTTGTGCCACGGCATGGTGGAATCAGGAGCCTGTCAATTTGTCGGCATGTAGAGTTATTGGTATCACCTGACAGCTGGTGTATATGCCTTGCTTCCAATGAAATAAACATCCATTTATCTTGAATAGAACTCAAGATATTTGCAACTGAAGTAGGTGAGGTCTCCTGGTTTCAGTGTTGAAATTAGCAAGAAAATGGCCGCCAAAGTTGGGTAACTCAGAGAACTAAAGAGTCTTTGAAAACTGAAAAATGACACATTTTGTGCCTTTATTCAATGTTTTACAGAAAATTCATGTGGAAATGTGTTTATATATGGATGTATAAGAGGTTAAGCCAAAAATAAAAATTCCATAAAAATTTCCGCCTGATTTCACCACACTGCCTCCAATTTATAATTGAACTGATTAAGAAACTGAGAAAATACATTTATCAACATTTTGGGCACAGTAATAGTACATTTTAACAGCAGGTTGACGATTATTATATTTAATCTATAAAGAGAAGGACCAAGAGAGAGAGAGAGAGAGAAAAAGAGAGAGAGAGAGAGACAAACTGAGAGAGATAGAGACAGAGATACAGAGAGAGACAAAGACAGAAACAAAGACATAAACATACACACACACATACACAGAGAAAAACACACACACACACACACACACATAAACACACACACACACACACACATACACACATACCACCCAGCACACCACACACAGCTCATCACCTGACAAGCAGCCGGCTGCCCAAACGTGAACCCGGCACAGAGCGTGGAGTCTGTGTTCACCTCCGTCTCCCCCAGCACTGTGCTCCGCTCACACATCGACTCACTCCTCACCTGCATGCGGCTGTCGCGGAGCCGCCGTGGCTTCATTGCTGATGACACAACACAGGAAATTTTGTTCATGTAACGTTTTACACACAGAAAATTGTGTTGATATAACATTTTACTCACAGTAAGCTTTGTTAATGTAACATTTTACACACAGTAAACTTTGTTGATGTAACAATTTACACACAGTAAGCTTTGTTAATGTAACATTTTACACACAGTAAGCTTTGTTAATGTAACATTTTACACACAGTAAGCTTTGTTAATGTAACATTTTACACACAGTAAACTTTGTTGATGTAACGTTTTACACAGAAAATTTTGTTGATGTAACATTTTACACACAGAAAATTTTGTTGATGTATCGTTATACACAGAGAAAATCTGTTTATGCATGTATTCAGTAACAATCCACATAAACATGTACTTTTAACCAAAATACAAAGTGTTGTAAAGCTGATCATGCACCTTCAAAAACAGAAAATAATCAAAGCTGAGCACTTTCAGAGCCACAAACTTTTCAGTACTTAGCAATATATTTTATTAACTATAACCAATACCATACAACGATCACACCCCACTCAGTTTGTCAGTTGACTCGCCTGGAAAACAGTTTTCCGGACACTTGATTTTATTAAAATATTGTGGAGTAACTTTCACCAAAGGGAATGTACACAGGGAATTTATGCACGAAATTCCCTCAGTAGAAGAGAACAAGTCACTATCTCTTGTCTGCGAACACAGCATATCCAACTGAATTCCTGCCTAAATAAGATCCACAAGGATACCCCACCTGACCGCCCGTTGTGTGACTGCCAGGATAAAAAAGCATCACACCATCTCTTTACCTGTCCAGCACTTAGCGACTTGCGAAGCACCTACTTACCTGCCTCCCCAGATATCGGAAATACTTTATACAGCAAAAAAATACAGCTGATAAAAACCTGTAAATATGAGTACCTTGCCATATCAACAGGTCGAAGGGCTAGACTGTTCTCAGAGGAATTTGCGCCTGCAACCTGCAACTTCCGTGTGCAACGTTTGCCCTTGGAACAACTTTAGCCATTTTCGTGAGTTTGCGAATTTTAGCCAATTTTCCGCAAAGAACAGCATTCGAAAAAGCTTTTTAAGCTTTACCATCTTTCAACTTTTGCTAATTTTTCTTGCAACTTTTTCTATTTTCAAAAGCAAATTTCTCCAGGGACAGGCTAGAGCCCAGATGGCTGCTGGATTGGAAAAGTAAAGTAAAAGTATAAAAATATTGCGGAGTAATTTTTACCAAAGGGAATGTATACAGTTGAATGGTATTGGCAGTCAAATTATATCGACATCATAACAAAGTGCGTGACTTTGACATTTTATTTTTTTACGAAATTTCATGGCTCTGATGTTTTTCCCGTCTCACCCTGACGATAGCTGAGCATGCCCCAGCCCGCCACGTAGCAGAAGGAGGTCGGCGGGAACACCTGTCCAGCAGCCGGCAGACACGAGGGTTGGACCACGTCAGTGTAGTGTAACTCCGTCTCCAGCTCTAGCAGGGCCAGGTCCCAGTCTACGCCGCCGTTCTCCAGCACCTGGGTCGTCACATATGGTCAAGGTCATTGATCCAGCAGGGGGTGGGGGGGGGGGGAATTTTGGGTGGGTATACCAGAACATAGACATAACAACAGCTACCATAGAATTGCAAAGTTCTATCTGCTCAGTGACTAGTTTTGAGAAATTCCACGTAAAATATTTCAAGTATCACAACACGTCAAGCTTTTTCTAATGCAATTCTTTGAATATCTTGAAAACGACTCTGAATAATCTCACAATTTTGATAGAACATGTAGAGCATTTAATTTTTTATTTTTTTTACCTCATGGTCTTAGTAACTTGAAACGGCCAAAAATGTCAGATAGAACTTTGTAATTCAAAGGTACCGGTAGTGAAATATTCAACATCAACACAGACATGCACTACACTGAGCCCTGAGACAGGAAACATGGCCAGCCCCATTTTCACTACAAAAGAAGCTATACGGGCAAACAAAAGAAGAAGAAGAAGTAAGAAGAAGAAGAAGAAGAAGAAGAAAAAGAAGAAGAAGAAGAAGAAGAAGAAGAAGAAGAAGAAGATGAAGAAGAAGAAGTAGATGACGAAGAAGAAGAAGAAGAAGAAGAAGAAGAAGAAGAAGAAGAAGAAGAAGAAGACAGAAATTCACAAATGCACCCAGTACAGTCATGTTCAATGATACGCATACAACGATGCATGATTCAGTCACACAAGCATATCCAAACCAAGCCGAGAATAAACCAATTCATAACAATTACAAGTCTTTTAGTAAGAGTTTTACTGCATTTGCAACACAATAAGTTCATTTAAGTGCAGAAGAATAGATGTGTCACAAGAGAGTAACATACACAAAAAAGAAGGAGGAGAGATCAGGAAGATAGATGTTTGATAGGAAAGAAAGAGAAAACCACGCTGGAGCACCCGCCAACCACATACGATTATAAGTCTCCTTACACAAAAGATTGTAACAAAGAAAGTCAGATGTTTTACGACTAGTTTTAGTGTTCCATGGCGCTTACAACTAAAGTGCTCAAAGCTGATATTCGATTGGGAAAGAGCGCTATATAAATTAAATCTATTATTATTATTATTATTATCATCATTATTATTATTATCTATATTATACTTGTGAAAGTTCGTCACTCTGGTCGTCTAAAACTTCCGAACCACTTAACTTTTGAATTTGAAAAAATTAACAGTGGTTCAGAATCATTTAAAGGGTGAAAAGTTATATTAAGGAGTCTGAAGTCACTGTAGTTTAAATCTCAGTTTTTCATTAGTTTCATTTAGATCTAAGCTTGGGAAAGTTTGTCTTCTAAGACACCATTGTAACCAAGTGAGGCTTCCATTCACAAGCAGTGCGCACTGTTTCTACAATGACTTGACGATCGATTCTTTTTGAGTCCATTCATCGAACGGGTACCCAGCTAGTATCATATAACAGCTGAAGAATAGAGGTGTGGCTAAAGAGTAATCATATTGACAAAGAAAAGAAGAAAGCAAGATAAGGATGATAGATATTTGATAAGAAAGGAGGAACAAACCACACTAGAGCAGCCACCCACCACCCACAATATAAAAAGCAACAAGAACAACATCAACAAGACAAAAAGTAAAACAAAAACAAAAAAATATTATTATGACAAACAGCCAATTCAAGAAAAACAATATCAACACTATCAAAAACAACAATAAACAATTTCAGTATCATGAAAAACAAAAAATAATGCCAAATACATAACCAACAGCATCAAAAACAAGAGCAGCAATAACAACAACAAAACAAAGAAGAACAAAAACATCAACTTCAACAACATCGGCAACAACAATAGAAATACCAACATCAACACCACCACCGATGACAACAGCCCCACAGCACATAACAACCACAACAACAACAATGACATCAACCCCAACACCATAAAAAACAACACCAAGAACAACAACAACACCAACACAAACACCATCACCAACAAAAACAAACTTGCTACCCAAAACTACAACAGTAACATCAATACCAAAAGGGATTCGATACCAAAAAGCTCAACAACAAGAACCCCACAGCCCACAGTAATTTGTTTTAATAGAGGTATTACGGCGCTCGCAACTGCATATGGTCATAAGAGCGCCAAGGGGAGTGTGTCAACAGAGAAGTCCTTACAGGGAACCGGGCTTACTCAGCTCCCCTCTCTAGCTTCAACAGCACAAAGTCTGCTTTGACTATCAAGGCATCCCGGAAATAGCGGGTCACAAGAGAGGGACAAACAAACATACAAAAAAAATAGAGGAAAAAATAACGATAGTAAGGGTGAGGAAAGAAAAAGCAGCGGTTCCCTATTGCAATTCCGGCAGTTATGAGCATGACATTAATGAATCAGCCCATTTATAATTCTACTGTGCAACAGAACATGGTAATGTCCCCCCTTTGGGGATGGCCTAAAGACACTTCAGTCAGTAGCACCCGCCCCGGGGGGGTCAGCCCACACAAAACCCGTCCCTCATTACCTTTGTCTTAGGGTGTAGGACTATCTTGAGCACCCGTGAGTGCTGTGCCGTGTTGCTTCGTCCTTCCCCATCGCCCGTCGTCTTAGCCTTTCCCTCCTCGCTCCCCAGGTAGTCGACGCTTCCCGCCACCACCGTGAAGTAGAACGGGGTCGTGGTGAAGTTGAACTCTGTGAGCCCGGGGACAGGCCTGAGGATGGATGAACACAGTACTTGCACATGTTTATTGTATTTATTTTATAAAAAATAAGTGCAGATGACTTTATGTCTCTATTCACACAATTGAGACAATTTAAGACATAGGCTTCCAGCTCTACCTGTTAGGGCCAACCTTGGCTGACAGCCATACAACATATAATTTTCATAATTTCGAATTTTTTAATTTTTTAATGTCTAAACATCATTTATTAATTTAGGTCTATATAAAAACACATTTCTGTCTTGAATTTACTTAAACATGTTAAACGCACCAAAAAAATGCAGAACAAGGATGAAGGAGAGAAGTGGGAAGTCGTTGTTTGTAAAGGTGATTTTCTTACACAGGTGGTTGTTATGTTACAGCAGTTTCAACTGCACTCAACCATATAAATCATCAATAGATGTAGCAGCGGAACTTATATGACCTGTTTGTGTTGAAAGTGCCGTAAAACTTACTTTTTCTTCTTCTACTTCAGGTATCAGGTCTGAAGCAAATACTGACGATCAGGGTACCCCATTCTTTCCTGTTGTCTGTCTTCACGATCAGCTTGTGTTTTTTCTTTCTGTTATTTGTGAGGTATCTTGGCACAATCAGGCGCTCGTTAAAATAATGAAATAAAAAAAAACTAGCATTCTTCTTCCTAATTGGTAACTTATACAGAATTCTTATTTTTTGGTTAACCCCTTTTATGTCCATTTAAAAACTGTGCTGTGACGTTTACTAAGGGCAGAGAAAATGTAAACTGACAGTTTCCACGGACTCTCAAGCTTTGGAAGTCACCAAACTTTCACGTGTTTTCTCGCTAGTTTTATCTCAGAAATCAGGTGACCCCCACCTCCTTCACTTCGTCACATCTCAATTTTTATTAAAGATATATGGGTAATTTTTTCATCAAATGCAAGACAGATGAACAAGCTTAACACTTTGCAGCCTCATCTCGCCGATTGGCGATATTTACCACTCAGTTTCTTGGGATTTTGACCAAAATATGATGGCAAAGTGTTAAAGATGATTCCAAATACTTCATAGGCTATGCCCAAAAATTGACCAGCGCCAGATTCCATCGCACCGTTACACATAAAGTTGTAAAGTTGTTCAGACTTACTAAAAAAAATCCCTCAAAAACGCACAAGCAGTACGTACCAGAGCACACAGTGAGCAGCGGTCAGCACCCAGGTCTTGCTGACCAGCACCCCGCCACAGATGGGCTGACCCAGGTACACAAGGGACACCACCCACGGCCACTTGCCCACCGGAGCTATCTCCCCTCCCGCCACAAACGACTCCAGCACCGCCACCTGTCTCTCTCCGCATCCTGCACACAGACAGAGAAAAAATCATTTTAAACTTGGGTGACTTTTTCGCCCTCATCAACACAATGTAAGACAAAATAAGATCAGATCAGATCAGATAAGATAGATAAGATAAGATAAGATAAAATAAGATAACATAAGATAAGATAATATCTTATTGTCCCAGATGGAAATTTTCCTTAGCTGTACAAGACTAAAAACACACGCAGGAATACATAAAAATTGATCGATATATTACTCTCATTAAAATTCAATATGCAAAGAGAAGTAAAGCTGACAAAGTGTACACATCACACAAATGCATCATTCAAACACATGCAGGAATTTAATTACAAGACCTTTAGAGTTATATAGATACATACTCGAAAGAGCAATACACACTGATGCTTATTCTGACAATAGCCTTTTGCTAGATGGTAAAAAACTTACTTTATATCTTTTTTCTTTGTTTTCAGAGGTGTACATCTGCCGCTGCGTGATCTTACAATTTATGTGGAAAGGGGGTGTGACGGGTCGTTTGTAATGCTGTTTAACTTTCTTGTACTTGTGATCTAATATAATAAGGTGAGGTGTGCTGACAAAACGAGTTACTTCTCACGATTCAAGAATGGAGATATCGGCCGAAAATCGACACTGAGGTCAGATTTACAGATTTTCAATTGATGTCATTTACTTCAAGTTTACTTCAGTGTCTTTTATTATTCCATACTTATACATTGTACAAACTTCACCTATAAAGTTGAATCAATTTCTATTAATTTAAGGCTAAAATCTGAGAAATAACTCATTTAGTCAGCACACCTCACATTCATCAATTTTAGTAAAATCGTATCCAGAGATCTTGCTGGCTTTATCTGAAAAAGCCTCGTCGCCACTGAGCAAGAGCTGGGCTCCTGAGCCTGCCTGTCAGGGCCGGCCCGAGCTGAGAAGAGAGGGATACAATATCCCAGTTGAAAGACTGAGATACTCGATACTCGTTTCAAATTCCCCCCCATCCAGGAATTGAATTCAGGTTGCCTAACAGCAACATCACAGATGCCGTTCAGAGGAAAAAAGAAAAGGCTTTATCTGAGCAAACTACCAATAACTACCACATTAATACAGATTTTACTCATAACTTACCAATATGTCATACAAAATCAGAACACAGGCCAGAAAAATGTTAAAAATCAAATTTGGGAAGGAGGGGACGATTGAGAGAGCAGAGAAATAGATTGGCATATGTAGTGAGGCAGAGGGAGAGGGAGAGGGAGAGGGGAGGGAGAGATAGAAAAAGAGAGAGAGAGAGAGAGAGAGAGAGGGGGGAGAGAGACAGAGAGAGAGAGACAGGTGAAATAACAGAATGGAAATAGAGAGGCATATGGAGGGAGAGAGACAGAGAGAAAGAGAAGACAGAGAGAAAGTAACGAGAAAAGAGGAAGGGTGCAGAGACCCAAAGTATGGGGAAAGAGAAAGAGAATAAGATACAGAAACGGAGGAGGAGGAGGAGGAGGAGGAGGA